AAAGTGAGACGCGTTACCGCGTCTCACCCTTATCATCCCTTTTTCTAGGGCATGCGCAGCTTTTTCCCGAATTGTTTGTCTCTCTTCTATGGATTAGAACATAACATTATTGTGAACGACATAGGTCATTGTTTGTTCAAATATGCTCCAGTTTAGAAGACGTTTTCTAAGCTCACCGATACCGGCGGCTTGGGTCATTAATAGTTTTCATGCTATTCTCATGAACACGTCAATAAAAAAGGGTAGTGAAAGTAAATGCAAGTATAAAGAGACAGAAAAATACATGCTTCACTTGGTATAACTACATCAAAAGAGCTTTTGGCATCCACTACAGATAAAATAACTAAAATTTCCTTTTTCATTACCATTACATGTTCTTTAATCGGAACTTCGTCACTATATACTCTATTACCTTCTACGCATTGACTGTTACTGAGATGTTTTTGTACCACTGGTGCTTTAAAAAGTTATCAATAAAAATTCACGGATCCGAGGTGCGGCGGTCGCACTCGCAAAATCGGCCCGGTCCCACACGGCCAAAAAAGCCAAAACGCGCGCGGTCGTCAATGTGTTAAAGCAACAGTCCCAGCAGGGTGGGCGTGGTCGGAAACGACTGCAATCCCCTCGGCCGATTCCGACCACGCCTTCAGCTCCCTCCCTAGCGGCTTTCCAAGGTGAGTTTTTGTTCAGTCACACTTCTTACGTTCTTGACTAGGGGCTGAACAGCTCCGAAGTGGGAATCGGCCGAGGGGATTGCAGCCGTTTCCGACCACGCCCGGAGAGTTCAGGAGAGAACGAAATTCAGCATGAAATTAAAAAAAGAGAAAGTAGGAAGTTCAAGCTTCGCCTCCAATACTATAGGTAAATAAGCCGTCTCCCGGCATAATTACCTCTAATATTGGGAGCAAAGCCTCTAGTTGTGGAGGTAATGGGGGCTCCAGAACCGTACTAAATCCTGGGTGCAAATGTGCCAGGGGACGGCATATTTACACCCGACTGGCGCTGGTTCTGGAGCCCGTACCCTCAAAACTAGGACGGTAGAGCTACTACTAGAACTCATTAGGGCGGGAGCGCTACCTATCGCCACAAGATCATCGTTTCTGACCCCACTCAGTCGCGTCCAGCCACATGCCCATCTCAGCATCCTTATTTCCGCGACTGAAGCTGCCTTTGTGATTATGTTTTGGGGCCAGCGCTCGTTGCCGCAGGCATCGAAGGCCTTTACTAGCGTCATATCATTCAACACCATTAATCGCACGGTGAACCTGGACTCTCTATTTCATCCAGCTGGGTTGGTTCGCGCCCTGCTTAGTCACGCTACCATCATTGGCCATATCTCTTTCCAAGCTTGGAGGTATTTCGCTTTTCCGAACTTTTCTTCTAGGCGGTTCACGATTGCATCTGTGCACTCCGTGCGCGCCACAAGCGTAGCATTTTTGACCTTGTCCTTGAGTTTTTCGTTGCTGTTTGCCATCAGGGCGAAGTTGTCGTGTCGTCAGTGTAAAGTATGGTATTCAAGGGCCGATCCATGAGCTCTTGTCACGAAATCCATTGCAGTAGAAAGAGGAACAGGTTCAGGGCTGATCCGTGCTGTATCCCAACCGCAACTACTCCATTTCCTCTAGCGGTGCTGGGTGCGTATAAGATGTCTCGGACCCATTGTACGTACACATCCACTTCCAGAGACAATATTCTGGATCTTTCTCTGAGCGCCCTCCTCAACACTCCTTGAGATACGGTCTGCATTTTTCTCAGTGCTTCTGCACACCTGCCTAGCTATGAAGACTGCATCTGTTGTGGACCTTTGGGGCCGAAGTAATTGGCTAAGCTGACCATTATGCTCAGCTGTGGGGGGAGGGGCAGGTCAACTTGATTAGCTGGAGCGCTCCGTTCCTCCCTTCTGCTTTACCATTGGGAAGGTAATGCTCGTTTTCCTGACGTCTGACACCTTTTGTGGGCTAGCTATCTTACTTTTCTGCTCTGCGAGCACCTTCCGTTTCTCAGTTGGGACCCATTTGGACCAAGCACCATCCCAACCTTCACCTTCCCTATTTCTCAGCGAACGAACGTCTATCTGGGGTGGAATGTAACCAGGCTTCGCTCCTTTTGTGAGTTTGCATTAGGTAACTCGATACCAGGCTCTAGCCAACTGGGGAGCGAACTCCTCGGCTCTCTAGTTTTTCGTACAAGGTGCCCATTTTTGGATTCATTGCCTTGGTTACAACTGGCTTGCGAGCTTTGTACCTTTTAAAGGGCGAGATCCTCTAAGTTTCGTGTTTACTGAGGTAAGCAAACCAGCCCTTTTGGCGTTTCGGCTGGGACCGTATGCTGAATGTTGGGGAGGGGATGGGGTCCCCAACGGTCGACGGTTTACTTCAACTCGGTTGGTACGATAGGAGAGTACTGACGCAAGTGGTGCAGCTGGTCCAGCAGCTCCGCCAGAAGGGCTGGTTTGCTCACCCCAGGACTAAGCCTTGGAGAGGGGACGGACCCGTCCTCTCTTTAAGGCTTAGTTCTGAGGTAAGCACCAAATTGTGGCGGTTCTAAGGACCGAGTTGAAGTGGTCCGTCCACCGTCGGGGACTCCATCCCCTCCCCAACATTCAGCATACGGTCCCAGCCGAAGCGCCAAAAGGGCTGGTTTGCTTACGTCTTTTACTGGCAGCGGTTGTACATAAATTCCCCTTTTGTTTCACGATTTGTTGGACTTGTGCCACGTCTCAAGTTTTCCAAGTGTATTAAAACTCGGGCAGCTGGTTGTACTATTCCGCCAAACACTTAAATTGTTCCACGATTGCTAATCCCCACCTCCTTGGTAAATCACCCATCCAAACATGCTGCTGACTTTACATAAGCTTCTCAGCCTTTCAGTGCCAGTGTTAATTTGGCACCACTTTTTCCTATGGATGAACTGGCCGCGTAGGTAATGGGAGATACAGCACACAAAATCGCTGAAGCTAAATCAGAGGTCCACAAACACGAAAACTAATATGTTCCGCACCCAGACCCCCTCACGGACCCCTTATTACCCACACAAACCCCCTCAGATT